TATAAAAGAAAAAAAAATAAAATTCCAGGTATAAATCCAAACTGTTTTTACTTCTTATGAACTAACAGAGTTTGTTTAGCAAATCATTTGCTCAGTATCTACAGGCAAATATCTGCAGGTCCTTTACAAAAAGCCCACAAAAGAAGTGGGATGAAGACCAGGAAGAAAATTCTCCCTGTTCGCCAAAGGAGGCAAGGGATGTGCTGTCCCAACATCAGAAATCTGATAAACTCTTTTGCATTAAATAGTGTTCTTACAGTTGCTGGATTGCTAGATTGATGTAGTCTGTGCTTGAGTACGCAGTTTCTGGTTTCGGTTGTACATATGTTATCTTACTTAATATGTTTCTAAAACTAAATAGATCCTTGGAGATTATTTCAGGGGTCTCTCTAATTGATGTCTCTTTTGCCGCAAGTAAATTTATACAAACTACAAGCAATGAGTTTCAGCATCACAGATCTAGGTAACTGAAAAACCAACTAGTTAAGATCAAGTTCTAGTACAAGTGAAGGAACAGAGTTATCAATGGTATTACCATTTGACAAAAGAATTTAGATGGCTGCCCCTCAGCAGTGGTAGATCAAGGCATTCCTTCACCCAGATGTGTACTTCTCCTGTTGTAGGAAGCTTTTTACCTGCAATAGAAAGAAAAGAAGAATTTTATTGCCACCATCCTCGTTACAATAATAGATATAAGAATAGCAGTCCAAAGATGGTTTGGCATGATAATACCAGATAGTTCTCTGCGCCTGGTGTTATGATCCCACTTGGTTATTTCCCCCCTCTTCTCTCCTCTCTCTCCTTTTCCAACTCTAGTACCCATCCAAAATTAACTCTATCTGCACATAAACCTTTCCTTAGTTATTTGTAACAGAGGTCTTATATCACAATAGCCCTGTCACTCTCCCTGACTTCTTATTTCTGCTAACTCTCCATGATTGAGTCTGTGTACAAAGCATTTATTAGGGAGCTCTGGTAGCCTAGTGGTAAGAGACTGCATTGCTATCCCAAAGGCGTGCGGTTTGAATCCATAAGCTACTGTGCAGGAGCAGGATGGGCAATCTTCTCCCACGTGATTTACTGCCTTGGTTGTGACTTGATGGTACTCAACAAACCTATAGTACTAAAATAGGTCTCAACTGTGAATACAGCAAAGGTCATTCACATTTTGGAGAGTGAGGTGACAATTAAACAACAAAAAAATTAGCATTAGTTTCTAGTTTGCAAGAATAAATTGTCTTACTTTAGCTACACAATTATCAAGTCAGAAGACTGGGGTTTAATCTTTGGAAATAGAGTAAAATCTGTGAAAGCTGAAATCTGAGTAAAGCAGGAACCTGTCAGAGAAGGAAAGTGCAAATGTTTTCCACTGAAAGAGAAAAGTGGTCAGACTACACCTGGTCAAAAGTAGAAAACTTGAGAGGTCCAAGAAAAATAAGTGAGTTTTGGCTCTCCAAAGTTTTACTGTATAACAGAACCCAAAGAGATCCTTAGATAGGGGAAGGAAAGAAAAGAGCATGAATCTAGGTAGAAAATCATTACATACCAGGGCTAGGCTCTGGGACATACTGGAGGGCTAACTTCATTTCACCTCTGTGGTCTGCCTCAAGGGCAACTGGTGCTGTCTGAAAAAGAAAGGCAAGTTAGAAAGGATGAGGCCACACTCTTGCCCTGACCCTCTCTGTACTCTGTGAGAGGTTCTCGGTTTAAAATTTCTCTTCCCATCAGAGATAAACTTCCACTGTTTATATAATTGCTGTGCATCTTGGAAATCATGGCAAGGTATGCTGAAAACATTTTAAGGTCTTTGCTCTCAAAAGTGGTTAAAACATAAGCATAGCTTTCTGGGAAATGAGAGACGAATTGGAAGATGATGTACTATTTACATAACCACATTTTTTTTCAGTCATTCTATTACCTGGAAAGATACAGTTCATAAAACAATTTGTATTGTTTATGAAGGACTAAGAATAATGTATAAACAGTGGGGGAGGGGAGACCAAATCTTCATTTTAAAGCTGATTAACCTGATTATTTTCAATCAAATGAGTAGAAGTCTGCAGAATGACTAAGACTGAATTTTAGAATGTATATCTGTTGTCTTCATGTTTAGGAAAGCTACTCTTACTCTAAAATTAGAGTCCCTTAGATCCACAACTAACAGTGTAGTTTTGGGTCTCCAGACTTCAGTCAATTGCTAACTTCACACTTTATCAGTATCCAAAAGCAGTCATCTGTGACTCTGTCTCCTAGCAAAAACCTGGCAGTGTCAGCCTCCAAGGTTAGTCACTCCAAGGTCTGCAGCTTGAGACCCTGTCTCCCTGCTGATGACCTGGAGTCTGGCTCCCCAGACATCTTCATCTTGAAGTCTGACCTACAGACCTGAGATGTGCCTCTAAAAGCAGGTGAGCCATTTCTTTGAAGTAAATCTCTCTTTCAATATATACATACATATGCATAAAAGATTCATTAGGTTTGCATCTCTAGGGAGTCCAGCCTAAGATAAAAACTAAATGAAATGGTCTGGTTTCCTTTTATTATCTTAGAAATGGAAAAGCCCTCCTTTCTATTATATTTATAAATCAAAGATGCATTTGAAATCACTAAATGAAGAAGAAACAATAATTTATATATTAATAGGGGAAAAATGAAAGAAAATATTTCATTTACCCTGAAGAAAGTAATTATGAAAATAATAAGGACAAACATTAAGATAACAGATTTAAATGAAAATATGTCAATATTACATTAAACAAAAGTAACTAAATTAAAAGACAAAAATATTTCAACTGGGGGAAAAAACTGCAAAAATTGTTGCTTGCATGAAACATACTTTAACTTCTTGAGTATCAATGGATAGAAATAAAATCCTCAATTAAAAAATAGTTGATATAGCTATACCAACACAAAGTACTAGAAATAAAAAGGGATATTCAAAATGACAGAACAGTCAATCAGGAAAACACAGTCATGCTAAACTTCTGTATATTTAATCAGGGAGCTCTAGTAGCAAAGGTACATGGTTCAAATCCATCAGCTGCTCTGTGGGAGAAAGATGGGCAATTTCCTCTTGTGTGACTTAAGATCTCTGAAAGTCTACTAGAGGATCAGCTATGAGTCAGTTCTGACTCAATAGTATACAACAACAACATATACTTAATTAGGCAACCCTACAATAAAAAATAAGAGCAAAAGTAACAAGACAAAAAGGAGAAATAGACAAATCTATAATCATATCTCTCTGAGTAAGTAAGCACAGACAAAAACTGATAAGGATATGGATGACAACATTATAAAATAACAACTTAATTGGCATATAACACTGCATTGAATAATTAGAGAATATACTTTTTTTCTAATTGTCATATGATAAATTTATCAACATTTGATCATTTACTAGGCTGAAAGTAATTCTCATATTTCAAAGGAATTTTAATTCTTGAAATAATCTTTTTGAAGTCTCTGAAACATCTGTGTCAAATTATTTAAACATTCTCCCTATACTCTCTTTCAACCTTTATTCACTGAATAAGGTAATTCCAACCCTAGTTTAAAATGATCCCAATTTGTGAACAGCACTCTGAATAAAAATACTCTTGAATTAAAATGAAATTTTATAGTAGCTTTCATTATAAAATACAAAACCAACCAACAACAAAACTCTCTGAGCTCACCTTCCGTTTCAAAGGATACCACTTAAGCTGCTTATTCTGTTTGTTGTCCCAGTCCCATGTTTCCAAGTCTAGTTCCACCTCTCCAAGAAAACTATTGCGTTTAAATGTATCCCGATGCCAGACAGATACATTTAGCTTCTGTGCCTTTAAGATTTGTTTTTCAATTCTGTACTGCAGTTATAAGAAAGAAATGAAAATGATGAGTGTTACTTCAATCCAAAGTTATGACACAGAGATGAAAAAGTTATCTGTGTAGATCTGATTTTCTCATCTGCTAGATTTCAAGTCTGAAAAATATTGCAAAGTCATCTTATTCTGTCAGTGTATTGTTTCAAAGAGCTGAAATTCATCTTTCACAAAAGCTGATTTATTTCCCCTCTTTGAAAAGCAAGACATAGCTCAAATATCACAGCTGGTAATAGCTTTCTAAAAACAAAAGCCAATTATTCCATTTTTATTGAATGTTTTTTGTTCTAATTTGGTTTTAAGAAACCTCTCCAATCAATTCTGTCTAAAAAATATAAAATAATGTATAATCTAATGATGTTATCTATAAACCTAAGACTATATTTTTTAAAAAAATATACTTGTTTTTCCTGTTTCATATGGGTAAGTATAAAGATTTGACTTCCTAACCATTTTTTGTCTCAAAAGTAGTCAATCTTTGATTATATATAATCATGGAAGTTATAATAGTACTTCTAACCTAAAAATAATCTCTATTTGGCTTTATAACGTTCTATGTGACTGTTCTTTTTGGTTGTAGCTTACTTGCCTTTTTCTGAGCATGCCAATTAAATCAGCTCATTTTCTTTGAGTATAGGGTTGAGGTAGCTCATCCAGAAATAGCAGGGTGATAGGTATGTAACAGGGAGCTCCGGTAGCCTAGTGGGTAAGGAGCCACTGTACTGCCACCAAATGCAGATGGCTTGAATCCATCAGTGGCTCTTATGGAAAAATATGAGCATTATAGCTATATACCCGTCACACTATGGTTAAAAACTTGCTACAGAAAATTCACAAGGTAGTGAACTCATCCATAGAAGACAAAGAGCTGGCCGAGCCATCGCGGCCCTCTGCCCGGGGCGAGCCGTCGTGGCCCCCTGCCCGGGGCGGGCTTCCCTCGGCCCTCTGCCAGGGGCAGGCTGCCCTCGGCCCCCGGCTCAGGGTGAGCCGTCATGGCCCTCTGGTCGGGGCGGGCTGCCCTTGGCCCCCGGCTTGGGACGAGCCATCACAGCCCTCTGCCCAGGGTGGGCTGCCCTCGGCTTGGGGTGAGCTGTCGCAGCCCTCAGGGTGAGCTCTTCAGTCCCCAGTTTCTACCATTTTCCCCAGATTGACTCCTGGGTGGTGAAGGAGAAAAAAAAAAAAAA